GAAGGACATGTGCAAGATCTGGAAAATTCCCGAACAGGGAGCTGCCAAAGTGGATGTGACCAACCTGCCCACCACCCCTAAAATGTTTACTTAAATGAGTGAGACAAAACAAAATGTACTCACTCCCTATTGGTCCAACTGTTTGTCCAAAACACCTTTACTAAATAAAAATAAAATTGGCTCCTTACCCAGTGTTATGGGCTGAATTGTGTGTCTCCACCCCCTGCCCCAATTTATTATGTCGAAGTCCTAAACTCCAACATCTCAGAATGTGACTGTCTTTGGTTTTTATTTATCCTCACCTGAGGATATATATTTTTTTATTGCCTTTTTTTTTTAAGAGAGAGGAAGGAAGGGAGAGAGAAAACGAACTATTGATGTGAGAGAGACACATTGATTGGCTGCCTCCCACTATGCCCTGACCGAGGCTGGGATAGAACCTGCAACCCAGGTACATGCCCTTGACCCGGAATTGAACACCCAACCCTTCGGTGCGCAGGCCGAGACTCTAACCACCGAGCAACACTGGCCAGGTCTGGGGTACTTTTTTATGACAGCCACAGGAAACGCGCACAGCCAGCAGTGACAGCAGTGAAAAGCTCATTCTCGCACATACAGACCCATGAAGCAGGGCTGAGCTGGGATATAAATGAATGAGTCAGACCAGGTCAGCTTATTCATCACTCTGACTAATCCACAGGCCAAATGCTTGAATCACCACTTTATTTATCATTGGGATCCGCCGAGGAAAGAAAGTCTCGACGAGGAAATGAGTAGAACCCAAACTCATCCCTGCGTTTCTGAGACATGCCGACTCTCTGAGGCCCTTTCTGGGCCAAAATGAAAACTGGAGAGGTGAAGCGAGGGGGCTCTGTGCAGTGGCCGGCAGCAGGCTGGCTCTTCAGGGCCTGGCAGAGCTCAGACAGAACCCTTTGTTCTGCGACTCCCTCTATCCAGGAGGACAGAGAGAAGGGCCTGTCTTGCTCTGTGGGGAAGCCGAGCAGGGGCTGCCTGGCACAGTTGGTTGGGGACTTGGGGACATACAAAGGGCTGGTGGGTGGGGAAGAAGGGGAGGAGGGACATCGCCCACAAGGGCTCGGGAGGCCCCAGAACGTGCATGTCCTCTCATGGAGTTACCGCAGCAATGTCACAGTTGGAGAACAAGCAGAGAAGCACGCACTAGGTGCAAAAGTTAGACAATTTGTCTAACATTTTTTTTTGTCTTAAAGATGGACTGGCATCTGGAGACAAGAGGGCAAACATGAGAACATAATGTAGCTTCAAGAGCCACCTTGATCCGGGATCACCTCCAAAGTAGCTCTTGAAAAGAGAATCAAATACCTCTAATCTCAGAAGAAAAGCAACAACTTGTGCCAAGGCAGGGACGGTTCCTGCAGAAATCCAGGTCAGTGGTAAGACAAAGAAGGGAAAGACAATGGCATGGTTGTCTGGGCGAATGCAGACACCCCCGCTCATCTCCTGTCCCTCCTCTGCTGTCCATTCTTGGTGTGTGTTGTCCAACTCCCCCTCGGTCCGTTCCCAGTGGTGCCTCCTTTTTATCGAGTCTCCAGATTAAGAACTGTCTGGAGGGCAGAATTCAGTTGCTGACCTCTTTTCCCCACTCCTGCTCTTGACAGCAGCTTGCAAGTAGCTCAACTTACACCAAAGATCCACTGAGGCAATGGTGGGCCTGGGGCAGCAGCCAGATTTTACTATAGAGCAGAGGTTCTTACTGTTGGCAATTCTGCCCTCAAGGGACACACAGTATGTCTGGAGGCATTTTTGGTTGTCACAATTTGAGGGGTGGGTGCTATTGGCATCTGGTGGGTGGAAGCCAGGGATGCTGCTCAATATTCTAAATTTATGGGACCCCCGATCCCCCAGCAAAGAATGATCCGGTCCCAAATATGAATGGCTCTGCAGTTGAGTAACTCTGCTCTAGAGATTTGGTCCTCACCCATTTGAGGTTACTCATGATCCTTCGAGTTTCTAGATCACCCAGGGAGCCATCTCTGAAGTCATCCCCTCCCTGAGCCTCAGTATCCATACTGGGGAAATAGGAACCAGGCCTCCTTGCAGAATAAAAGAGTTGGGTACGAAAGTGTCTATCACAGAAGGGTAGAGCCGCACAGGGACCTGCTTGTGCAAATCCTCCTTCCAGGTTTCATTTCACACCTTCATATCCTTCAAGGCTTGGCTTGAGCCCAGCTATGTCTTCTGGGGAAATTGCAGAAATTCCCAAGCTCTGAAGCTTGCACTAGTCATTCCTCATTCTATTCCTATGACTTCTTGGGCCAGCTCTGTTGCTGAAGTGACTGCCACTCAACTCCACTACAGTATTCCTGGTGTGTTTTTTTGGGGGGGGGGGGCACGAGGGCTCATGTCTGTGCCCTGGAACCAGCCCCCAGCACAATCAGCCCTTGCTTAACTGAACACTGGGCCCACCCAAGACACACAACTTCGATGAGATGAGGAGAAGGAAGTGGCAAGTTAACAAGCCCCTATTGGGGACGGAGAATGAATCCTACAGCTGAACAAACGGGAGATTCCTACATCTCACCTGTTTCTTGCAGTCATAGGCCTGGACCTGAGGGAGGGTCTCACCCAGCAACTTCCAACCACAGGATGCAGCTAGAGCTTTGTGAACAAGTGCGGTGTGCAGAGCATGTTTGGCACTGCAAACTTTCCCTTTGAAACATGAAAGTGCAGTTTAAAAAAAAAATCATTTTTGGGTATAAATTTTAGAATGGAAGGCCAAACCACTGCAGCAGGGAGGGGATCACCAGTTGGGGGGCTGCATAAAATCCAAGGGGGCTGTGTGGTAGACACCCCAAGATTATCAGGAGGGGATGGGTTTCAAAGTTGAGAAATGCTGACTGAGGTCAATTCATTCATTTTGCAGGTGAAGAAACAAAGAGACTTGATGGAGGTGAGAACCCCCAACACAAGACCCTCCAAGAGAGCCTACCTGACCATGCTCCTGGTGCAGGGAGGAGAAAACAGCCAGGGCCATGCACCCAGAAGATTCTGGTCCTCTTTATTGGGGCTGCTCTGGCCAGGGCAAGTCCATGCTCAATGTCTGCACAAGGCATGACTGCGGGCTCTGAATGAGTGTCCCGGAGCCACCTTTCATAAGGGCCAGAACATTCTGGAGGTGAAGGGGGTGGCTATCTTTCTGTGGTCCTGTTTACATTCAAGCTATCCAGATTTATCTCCTGTGTGAGCTATAGGCCCCGGCTCCCCAGCCCTCTGGCAGATCCCAGACAAGGTTCACCACTGTCGGGAAAGGAGAGAGATGAATGCTGATCAAAACTGCCCTATCCAAGGCCCTTGCCAGAATCGGGCCCATCAGATGGTGAAACATCTTTCCAGCTGCCCTTGTCACCTCCCACTGCTCCTGGATGGCTTCAGGGCCTGGAGACTCCTAGACCCAGACACAGCAAGGTAGGAGCTGGGACCCTCCAACTGCAGGGCACAATGTCTCCACCAGCTACCACCTCAGACACTGGGTGCAGGAGAGGCTTTGCCTTTGAGAGCCCTGGCCTACAGGCATGCAGAAGAGAAGCAGGGCACACTGGCTGCCTCTGGGGCTGAGCTCACAGCCGCTGGAGGACAGATTTCCTGTATGTCGTTTTACCCATTTAAGTCCAAGGATGCAACTGCGAGGAGGTGGTGACAGCTTAGCACACAGGGAGCGTGCACATGCACTCCCTCCCCTCTAAAACCCAGTTCCGGTCCCAAGGAGGGCCCAGAGTCTGCTTCCTTGCTCCCGGGGACACCCTACCCCCCAACCTCCCCACCTCCCACTCCCCCCAGGGCTTCAGGCAGCCAGGTCTTAGCAAAAGAGTTGTGTGGTTTTCCAGTCCGGAATCCCGGCGCAGAGAGCCCTGGGACTCACCCAGGGTCACCCAGCGGCTGGGGGTGAAATTGAGAAGATGAATCAAGAGCCCCCCCCGCCCCCCCCCCGCGCTCTACCACCAATGTCCATGGGCTGCATCTCAACATCCGAATGGGGTCACTCTATAGTCCTTCCTTCCCCTCTTCCCCAGGCCCTCCCTGGACAGGCCCTCAGTTCTTGCCATAGTTTTACCCTCTTTTGCTCCCTTCCATCGCCCATGTTCCTCTTCCCAATTGAGCGGGCCACCGCGCCAGTGCGTTCCGAACCTCTTGCATTTATGAACACCCACTGAGTCCCAGGCGCCGCCCGGCCTCAGGCACCCTTCTTCCACCCCTTCGGCCGTGGACAGACGCCCCCAGGCTGTCCTGCACCCCTTCCCCCGATCGCACCCAAGCTGTCCCGCCCCCACCAGCCTGGCCCCGTTTCCCCAGCGTGGGCCCCTCAACACCGCCTCCTCGCCTCTGCCCCTCCCAGACCCGTTTCCTGCGACCCCTCAACTACCACTTAAGCCACGTCCTCTTCGGAGAGGCTGCTCAAAGCCACAGGACCTACCACCCCCGCTCGCCCACAAACTCCCCTACAAGGTCCACCCCATCAACTCTCTTCCGTTTAATCCGGCGCCGTAGCACGCCGTCTCCGGCAGCCCCTCCGCGACCCCCAAGCTCGTTCCCGCCCCCCCTTCACCCCTGCCTCCCACCCCCATTATTGCCCCTCAGCTCCGTCCCTGAGCTGCAGCCCGCCGACGCGAGCTT